CAAATATTTCACTGGAAATATGAACAAAATAATAGAGTATTGAGAGCTTAAGAGAAAGGTAGTGTATAGCTTTGTATTGCGAGAATATGATCTGCTTTACAAATGATCAGACCCCCTTTATAAAGTAGGGGAATCCTACCCGTAATACAATCCTAAATACAGTAAGAAATCCCATGATTAGCTGATTAATTGACCTCTTCTTGATGCATGCCGAGATTTTCGCCGTGATCCTTTCCCGATCGCGGATATCTTGTCTTTCCGTTATTTGGCTCAGCAGGCTTCCCTCGATCTTGCTCGATCTCTATCTCGCTCGGTCTCGATCTTGGCTGATCTCGATCTCGATCTCGATCGGTCCCTGAATCACGAGCTTGGCAATCTAACTTTGTGTCACCGTCCGGTATGACATGAGGTCGAACCTTGGCCTGCCACGCCCCGGTCTCGATTAATGATACAAAAAGAGCAAGCCCGATTTTGACCGTATACACAAGCGCATACAAAAATTGAGAAACCAGATAAATAAGGATTCTTTCTCTCCAAGAATCACATGCGAAGATCTCCTTTCATATTATAAAGCGTGATCAGCAATATCAAATGCAAGATGGAAAGGAAATTTCATGGATGAGGAGGCAAACAATTTGATGATATATATATATATATATCAAAATTGGAGGATGCAAGATGGAAGATTGGAGGTGATTTGGACTGATTTAGTATCAAAATTCATAGTTCAAATTGAGTTTATAAATTTCTTCTGCGATACATGTATCAAACATGCATCGCGCATGTATCTCATACAGAGGTATACATGGATATACATGTGATACACATTTAATACAAATATGATACATTAGTATTATTAGTATTTGGCTAATATTAATAATATCTTATGAATAGAAGGGCTAAAAGGTTTCTCTATGACTTTTGGTTAAGATATTCTAATTTGCATTCTAAAGTTTTGACATCTCACCAATCATATTGAACAAATTATAAACTCCTAATGAGTTTCTGCAACTCTAGTCTTTACAAGGGTCACGGGATCTAAGCCAAAGCCCTAACGCACCTATAATGGAATTCATGCACTTCTTTTGTATGGCCGAGAAGAAAGGGAAAAAAGTAGAATGGTTGGTCGGTAAGTGGAATAAATAGAGATATTCTATTGGTTGGGATATCTCATGGGATAACTTTCTATATGGAATAACTAATCTCTATCATTTTAGTACAAAATAGTTCTCGAGACTAATTAATACTTATAACCAAAAGTGGGATAAAATAATCCTGCATTTTATACCAGATTGTTATCCCTTATTCCGCTAACCAATCTCTCTGTTTCAATTTAGATGAGATAGTTTGATTCAGCACGTGGTTTAAAAAAAAGACTTTTGAAACTTGTGGTCTTAAAAGTTTAAGGGTAAAGTTTTGTGGGGTCATGACATTTATGTAATTATAAAAGCTTCTCATTAAGGCCATCTCCAAGGCTGCACCAAATTTTGCACCAAATTCAAATTTGGTGTAAAATTGGTTTTTTTTGCTCCAATGGAACACCAAATCTTGCACCATTATAGTGCATGAATAGTACACCAAATTTGATTTATTATTATTTTATTCATCTTTTTATTTTTGGACTTTTAATTTATTATATATTGTGTATATAATTAATTTTTATATTAAGATCTTTATAATTTTAATTTTATATCCTATTTTTTTGATATATTAATTTTTGTATATATTATATTTATATAAAATTATAAGTTAATTTTATTATTATTATGTAAAAAGAAATATAACCATTATTTAAAAAAAATGCAAATGTAAGATATCTAATGTTGTGAAAATTTGACTATGATGTAATATTCATTTAATTATCTTTTATCAATGATTTCACTTTTAGTTGATTTATCCTTTAAAATAATTTTGTAATAAATGATTATATAAGTGGTGAATGTGAATTATATATAATGAATAAGGAAAAAATAAAAAAAGATAGTATTTGTTTGAAGGAAATAAAAAATGAAATTTAAATAGAAGATAATAATATAATATAGAAGAGAGAGAAGAAATATTATTTTTTGGTGTAAAAAATGGTGTAATGGTTGGAGTAAATTTGGTGTTACACTATTTTGGTGTGAAATTTGGGGATGGTCTAAGGGTAAAATGAAGAGTTTAAAGTCGAATTATTTCCAAATTAAAAAATATGTCATTTATTTTGAAACAGACTAAAAAAGAGAGTAACACATCTAATTTGAAACGGAAGGAGTAATTTGAAAGATAGATAGCCTAATCTTCTTGTACAAGATGAGAACCTGGTAAACAGGTTAGAGAATTGATCAATTAATTATGGCCATGCATCAATAAGATTCATCTACTTCAAGTGAGATGTGACTCACCATGAGACAAGTCGATTGATTATGCGTCATGTTATTGGGCGGTTAAATCTGTTCGATCAATATTATTAATTTGATACCACCAAAGGTCGTGATAGAATGGTAGATATTTATCGTTTTAGATTGGAGGTTTCGAGTTTGAGTCCTAAATACGAATTTTTTTATTTTATAGCGAACACTTTACTCCTAAAGTGCGACTTTCCAACACAAATCTAGTTCTATTCGGATCCAAAGCAAGTATTGAATATTAAATGAAAAACCAAAAGATATTGTTAATTTACCTAATGACTAAAGATGATGTTCGTGCAGTGCCCTTCGTGGCATCGAAAATTTCTGATACGTGATAATGAGTAACTAAGTAGGTGTTTGGACATAAAATTTACAATTTTGAAGAAAAAAAAGAAAGTAGTATTTAGAGTTAAGTTAAAAAGTAGCATTTAGAATTTAAAATTATGTTTGGACATATATTTCAATTCACTTGTTTATTTTTATTTTTTTATTTTTATAATCATGGTATTTAGCCAGTTTGCATGCACCTCAATTAATTTCTCCAACAAATTATACGAGGTATTTACTATCTCCCATCAGCACAAGTATCGGGTAATTTTGTCTCCCAAAGCTTAGACATATGAGAGGAAACTACCTAGCATTTTAGCCTCCACTTGAATTTAAATTTGAGACCTCATTATTCCTGACCCACTTCATTGACCACTAGACCACACCTTTAAGTGCAAGGAAATACCTTGTTTATTCAACAACAGCCGGCAGCTAGCTTAATATTTAAGAATTATGTTAATGAGACTTGATCTCTTAATTATTTAAATCAAATTACTCTATCCATTCACTTTTACTTGTTCACTATACTACAAATATATTTTTACTTTTATTTGTTCACTATACCAAATCAAAAGAAAAAAAAAATTCCTTCTTTTACCTTTATCATTAACTACTCATTCAAAAGTCGTTTCCCAAGACTTTTAAAAATGTTACTATTATTATGGATAAAAATGAAAAAAAAAGCTTCACTTATTTTTTTCTTAAAGAAAGTATAAAATCAAAAGTAAACAACTAAAAGTGGGCGGAGGGAGTAACAAAATGCAAGTACAACTGCCAATAGAATGAGACCCCTTAGGCAATACCAATGTTTTGGTAGGGAAAAAAAAGGCATGAATGTCTCATGGTTATTTTTTTCTAAAGAACTTGATCCAAATCAAGGAAGAGTACACGAAACATTATATGTCACTTGGATATCTAAATTCATACATGAAAAATCAATTTACAGAAAAAAGGTATGAGTGTCTCAAGGGTTATTTTAAGTGCTGAAACTAATTTAATAAATAAGCAGTTACGTGTTTAGATACAAATGCTGAAATTGATAATAAGTTGATGCAGTATTTTATAAAAAAAGTGGTGATAAGCTCTTTTTCTGTTAAAATGACTTAAATAACCTTAGAACTGTTCACATCTATAAGGGTGTAATTTCTTCAAAATTTTAGATTCTAGATCGATTCGAATACAAAATATTCTATTTGTCAATTTATTTTAAATATAACTGTGCTTAGATAAGATAACTTTTATGATAAATATAATTTATTTTATGATAAGCATACAATCATAAGTTATAATTGATTAATAAATTGACAAAAGCTTCTCAGTAAAAAATAAACCTAAATAGGACAAAAAATTTGAAGAGAAACAAACACTATCTTCATCACCACAACACTTAGATAGCGATACACCAAAAATTTGATATGTCCTCATTCATTACATACAATTCAAAGATTAATACACACTACATAGATACAAATATGCAAATGAATAGAAAATTTGCTTATTATAAATAGTCAATGAGAATTGAAGACTTGAAAAGGCAGGAAGGGGGGGGTGTTATGTTGAAACAACACTTGAGGCAGTGAGTATCGATGTAAGAGTTTTGTTCTAAAAATAATATTTTAAGGATAAAATAGTAAAAATCTTGATCAAACTAAAAGTGCTTATAAGCTAAAAATTCATAAGCTAGGGGTGACCAGCTTATAGCTTTTGACTTATTTTTTTACTTATAAGCACTTTAACTGTACCAAACGCGTAGATAAGCGGAAAAGTGCTTATAAGCTACTTTGACTAACTTATAAGCATAGCCAAACACCCTCTATGTTTTTATTAACGGATTAATAAGAGAATAGTGTCAAAGCAAGTGCGAAGGGCGAATCAAAGTGATCTTGATACTTGGGGAATATTCTTAGCTACGCATTGTCGATTACCTACGAGGACTCTAGTCCACGTTATGTAGGAGCTCAATATGTATGTGCGTGCAAAGATATTGGCCCACGCTTATTTGTAACTCGTAAGCAAATATCTTTTTGCTAGAAAAATCATTTTGCACTTGAGTGTTCTTTTTTATTGACAAGCTACATCTTATATTTCGAACCATTGTCATTTTCTCCTCTTACCTTAACGACTTTCCAACATTTGACCAGCTTAAGTTCATGTCCTTCATGTCACAAGCCAAACATGGAGCCCAAAATGAACCTGTTTGGTTTGCAGAAATTCAATAGTATTTCCCTTAAAAGTACGCATAACCATTAAAACATTTCAGATTACCAAATAATTGCACAATTGTAAACTGGACCCTAAAGTTGTAAATGTTAAAATTCATATTTTTACGTAAACACGCTATACACAATATTCATATTTTACCCAACACTATCTGCTACATATGATTCAGGTTAACGGGATTAGCAATAAAGGGTCATATGAGGCTTTAGAAGAAGACAATAAGATGACTTGCCTGATACATGGATAATTGGTTGGCGTACACATATATACATATATACAACTCTATAGATGGGTTATGCGGTTCATATAGTTAAGTAGCGGTCATGGCAGAGCAGACCATCAGTGATGTCGTTAGTGAAAGCTGATATGGAGCTATATCTGATCCATAAGAGAGTCCCATCCGCAACCTGACATAACAATAGTGCCAATTGACTCCTTCTGCTTCATAAATAGTGGGAAAACTTAACCAATGGTCAGACTTAAGTTACATAATCTTCCTGAACCCACCTGGCTAAATATGAAACAAGAGAAAGGTTATTGTTTTCCATGACATCACAGAGCCCTTTAATAAAAATGCAGGGCCATCTTTACTTCTTTTCTTTTCAACAAAACATGACATGAAACTCAAAAGAATGAAAGGTCTTCAGAAGAATCCCAAAATTAAAACCTTACAGAGGCAGCTACTCCCACTTGCCTGCTAGTTTTGCGACTAGAGACACTAAGAGAGGAAGAGGAGAGGTTCACTAAAACAGGCAGGCGGAAAAATTATCTATTCCTTTTTCAAAAATGATAAACAGGAACTTTCTACTTTTTATGGGGAAAGAAAAACAAAGACAAGCTAAAACGGAATATACCAGAGTTGTGTATGTGCATGACTGTCGCTGAAAAAGACTTTCAGAACCGTCTAGATTTCTGTTGTGGAGGGTATCCAGGCAATCCCATTCCTGGATCTTTCCTTCTCATCTGCTTGACATACAAAAGTATCAATCAATTTAGGGATGGGAACTACCGAAAGTATAACAGTACCAGGCTGACTATAGCAACCTGCTGCTGATGTGCCTGAGCAGCAACACCACGCTGCATGGGCATGTTTCCCGGGTTCATTCCAGCACCCATGCCAGCTTGAGAAGCAAGATTATAAGCAGACATGCCCTGAGGTTGCATCCTTTGCATGTTGACCATTGGCATTGGTCGGGGCACAGATCTATTCGGCATTACATGGGGACCTTGCATGCCACCAGATGCTGCATTTCCTGATGATACCTGCTCCAACAAATAGTAATATGAGCAAGGTGCAACTGACCAATATGCCCCATCCTAGTCCTTTAGTATGAAAATGTGACAGTTTCAAGTGATTAGCTTTCTCTAGTTCCTAGTCCCATACAAGCAGTCTTTTTTATTGAAATATTATATATAGGAAATTGAACTATAAAACAACAACAACAAAAAAAAACCCGGTATAATCCCACATAGCGGGGTATGGGGAGGGTAGTGTGTACGCAGCCTTACCCCTACCTTGTGGCGGAAATTGAACTATATCAGTAGTAAATAAACACTAAAGAAATAAACGTGCACGGAGATATGAACCTAGTTGATGTAGAGATTTTTATACTTACTGGCTGAGAAGGTTGAAGACTAATTGTTCCTTCAAAGTCTGTAGTCGTGTCCACGGGTCGAATTGGATAGTTCACAATTTTTTCTCCAGGCTGTGGTGGTACAAGTGCACTGTCACAATTTAGCAGTTTTAAGGGTTAATGGAAATTACTAGATTAATAAAGGTAGTCTCCCCAGAATGAAGGAAAGATAAAGCATCTATAAGTGCTACAGCTCCACAGTATGTCTAAATGGATATAAAAAGGTAAAACTTGTAACTCCCAAATTTCATTAAAAGTATTTGGGTGTTCTAGCATGGTTTAGTCATAACAGCTTAGTGAAACTTTTGTAAATCAAATGTTTGACCAAGAGACTGTGGAAAGCAAGCACTTACTTGCGGCCAGGTAGAGGTTCCATCCGAAAGTACCTACAAACAAGAAAAAATAAAAAGCTTTAACAAATAATACATGGCAAGCATCCACCCAATATCATAAGAAACCCGAGGCCTTCACTTCCCTACTTTAGGTGTCAACTTGACATTCAAAATTTTTTATGAGCTAACCTTGATCATATTGGTAATAGAAAAACGAATGCAAAAAAATAGGGTTCCTCTATTTCATGTCAAGAAATTTCCAAAACCATGATAAGTGTTTCGGTATAAAAAGGAATAACCCCACATAGCTTCACTAGACCAAATACTATATCAACTTTACCACTTCAAGGAGAAAAGCTATTGGCAAGAAGCCCCGCCTGGCTGGAAGATCAGCTGAAAAACGTCTATAACATGGTAAAATAAATTGAATAGGTACAGTATGCGGACCAAATACGCTCAATAGCTGTTTAGTAAAAGTAAGCCCAGTGCTTAAGGGATGGAAATTGGAGGACGTCGAAATGGTCAGCTCTGTTATTTTGGCCCGGACAACAAAATATAAAAAAGTAGTTAACTTTGTCTAATAATTTTGATCAGGGACATATCTAACAATTAGTAATACTTAAGAACCATTTTACAAATTTATTTTGAGATGAAATATGTCATCATATTTGAAACCATTTGTAAGCGAATAATGCAATAGTCTGCAAAGAGAGAGAGAGAGAGAGAATGAGATGGAGAGTCCATACTCATGCTCGAGAGCTTGCACTGCTGTTATCCTTTTGCGAGGATCATATCTGCAAATTAGATGACGTCAAAATATAATATTGATCTCAATTAATAGAAGCTTCTGGAATATAAGTAAAATGTCAATAACAATTGCAAAAGTAACATTGGGGCATAAAATCAAATGCTTGCATTATAATTTAGTAAGGAATTTTTTAAAAAGAAAAGTAAGGTACTTCTATTGTGTATAGCACCAAGAAAGTGCTCTAAAGAATTGACAAATACAAGAGCTTCCTTATTTAGCTATGTAGGATATTGACAAAATCATATGGTATATATCATTTACAATTAGATTTTTACACCAAATATATAAAAGGTATAGGCATGTATATGTCACTGAGATAAAGAACCTACATTACCTTCAAAACATCGTTTACAACAACAACAAACCCAGTGAAATCCCACAAGCGGGATTTTGGGAGGGTAGTGTGTACCCAGACCTTACCCCTATTTATGAAGCTAGAGAGGTTGTTTCCGAAATACCCTCGGCTCAAGAACAGTAAAAATGAAGCAATAGAGAAACAATAGCAACAACAAGGTAATAAGATAACGAAGCAAGTAATACAAAGAGTAATAACAAAGATCTAGGGATACGAAACTACAAGAGTAGTGCAGATCCTACTGATAATAATGCCACCGTATAAAAACAAGGGACTAGGAATATGAAGACATACGACTACTGCTACTACTACGGGTAACACAAAGCGGAACTCTAGACTGTCTATCAACCTACCACCCTAATTCTCGACCTCCACACCTTTCTATTGAGGGCCATGTCCTCGGTAAGCTGGAGCAGAGGCATGTCCTGCCTAATCACCTCACCCCAGTTCTTCTTATGCCTCCCTCTACCCCTCCTCTGACTCGCCATGGGCAGCCTCTCGCACCTCCTAACCTGGCATCAGAGTCTCTCCTCTTCACATGTCCGAAGCATCTCAGCCTCAATTCCTGTAGCTTATTTTCCACAGGGGCCATACCCACCTTGTCCCTAATATATTCATTCCTAATTTTGTCTTTTATGGTATGCCTACATATCCATCTTAACATCCCCATTTCTGCTACTTCCAACTTCTGAGAATGAGATTTCTTGACTGGCCCACATTCGGCTCCATACAAACTACCGCTTTGTAGAACTTGCCCTTAAGTCTAGGTGGCACATTCATGTCACACAAAACCCCAAAAGCTAGCTGCCATTTCAACCACCCCGTTCCTATACGACGTGCGACATCCTCGTCAATCTCCCTGTTACTCTGTATTATAGACCCAAGATATTTGAAACTATCTCTCCTGGGGATGACTTGTGTATCAAACTTCACGTCAACTTCTGATTAATGCGTCCCAACACTGAACTTACACTCCAAGTATTCTGTTTTTGTCCTGCTCAACTTGAAACCTTTAGACTCCAGAGTCTAACATTACAATTCTCGTCTAGCATTAACCCCGCAGCGCGTCTCGTCAATCAACATTATATCATCTGCAAATAACATACAATATGGCACTTCCCCTTGGATTTGTCGCGTCAGCACATCCATCGCTAGGGCAAATAAAAATGGGCTATGAGTTGATCCCTAATGCAACCCCATCACCACTGGGAAATAATTGAGTCTCCTCCCACAGTCCTCACCCGAGTCTTAACTCCACCGTACATGTCCTTAATCATCCTAATGTACGTTACCGGAACGTCACTAACCTCCAAACATCTCCATAGAACTTTCCTAGGAACTTTGTCGTAGGCTTTTTCTAGGTCAATAAACATAATATCCAAGTCCTTCTCCCTATACTGCTCTATCAACCTCCTCACAAGATGGATGGCTTCTGTAGTCGACCGCACCGGCATGAATCCGAACTGATTCTCTGAAATAGGCACACTCTTTCTCACCCTCCTCTCCACTAACCTCTCCCAAATTTTCATGGTGTGATTCAGCAGCTTGATACCCCTTTAGTTGGTGCAGTTCTGCACATCACCCTTGTTCTTGTACAACAGGACCATCAAATGCCACCTCCATTATTCCGGCATCTTCTTCATCCGAAAAAATGACATTAAACAATCCAGTATGCCACTCCAAGCCTGCCCAGCCCGCGTCCTTCCAAAATTCCACCGAGATCTCGTCTGGACCGGTCGCCCTACCCCTACTCATCTTCAGCATAGCCTCTTCAACCTCCCAATCTTAAAACGCCTACAAAACCTCAAAAATTGTTGGCTTTCTGAGCTCTCCAACTCCCCGAGCACAATGTTCTTGTCCCCATCCACATTCAGGAGTTTACGGAAGCATGTCTACCACCTGCGCCTAATACACACCTTTTCCACCAATATTTGCCTTCGTCGTCTTTGATGCACCTCACTTGGTCTAGATCGCAAGCCTTTTTTTCTCTCGCCTTGGCTAACCTGAACAATTTCTTGTCACCTTCGCCCCCAAGTTTCTCATACAATTGTTCAAAGGCTGCAGTTTTAGCTACCGTGACTGCTAACTTTGCCTCTTTCTTTGCCTTCTTATAGTGCTCTATGTTCATCCTCTTCTCCTTCTCGTCGGCGCTCTCCATTATAGCTTCACATACGCCAGTTTCTTGGCTTCCGCTTTTCCGTGGACCTCTCCATTCCACCACCAGCCACTTTGTGACCTCCTAAGTAGCCCTTCGTGACCCCTAGCACCTCTCTAGCAGCTTCTATAATGCAGTCTAAAATCGTGGTCCACATACTACTCGCGTCCCCCACTACTTTTCCAAGCCCCCATAGCAAGCAACCTCTCCCCGAACTCTTGGGCTTTGTCCTTAGTTAAGGCTCCCCACTTGATCTTGGGTTGACCATTCACTTCCCCATCCCTACTTTCTTAATCTCTGTGTCCATCACCAAAAGCCTATGTTGAGTCAAAAGCCACTCACTCGGTAAAACCTTGAATCAGTGGATAAACCTCTATCCCTCTTCCTGCAGAGAAGATAATCAATCTGAGTCTTGGCCACCGTACTCCGATACGTGACCACCCTTCTTCTGAAAACACGATTTAGCTACTACCAGACCAAAAGCTTTAGTAAAATCTAGCAGCAAAGCACCACCCTCGTTCCTAACTCCAAAACTGAACCCATCGCTTCAAAACATCGTTTCTTTCTTTTTTAAAAAGAACAAGTACAATGAAGTTGAGGTGAGATTAGATGAAATTGGTGCCTACATACAAACAATTCAAATTTTAGGCTTAGGGGTTCCAGAAGAATGGTATGATAGGAAAAAATGTTCACACATAAAAGCAAAATAGGATGTTCAAATGGAGTAAGTGCTACCAGAGTGTTATAGGATAAAAGGACACTTACCAATAGAAAGGCAAGTTCTATAAAATGGTTGTAAGACCAACAAAATTATATGAGAGTGAATGCTAGGCCCTATGGTTCAACATATCCATACGATGAGTATTTCACAAAAGCAAACTTTATAATAGATGTGCGGTCATACATGATGACAAGATTACAAATGATCATATTCAGCTAAAAGTGCAAGTACCACATATGTGAAAACTGCGAAAAGTTAGCTTGATGGTTTGTCATTTCCTGTGTCAATCTCCAAAAGCACGAGTGCTTAAGGTATGAAACAATGGTGATTTAAGGTGTTAAAAGGTGACAAGGTAGACCTAAAATCGCATGGAAGAAAGTACACACTTTGGTGAAATAGGACAAGATAGAACAAAAATATTCATTTAGGTAAAATACCAAATGGCTACGATCAAAATTTAGTTGGCGAGGAGGTTTTTAGGTCCTTTTAGAGATATATTCTTTTTGATCAGATAAAGTAAAATTTCGTTAAGAATCACATCCGGTGGACATTGAAATTACAAGCTGTAGAAAAAAAATTAGTTCCTGCTATAGACTTCCTAAGGAGCTTACAAAGTCAAACAACTTAACAACATTATTTAAAATGTGATGTTTGCTCCAGCAAAAAATGTTAGTAAGATATCTATATTTCAGAGTATAGATAGGAGAATAACTCCCTTTAAAACATTATGTTATTTCTTTTCAACTAAATTGTTCGGACACAGGTGCGGGCTTCCGACACGGGTGCGGATATAAAGGTTGGATCCTTTGAGATGTAAATTCTAAGATTCGGGGATACAAATCCTAGTACGTATACGAGTGCATGGATCCGGCCAAAAATAATGCAAAAATATAAAAATATCTCTAAATTATGAGAAATTTTGTGAAATACTTATGTATATCTTGTAAAGTGTGGAATTTTTTTTTTGTTCTCAAGTTGTAGATAAGTAAAGGAGTAATTTCCTATATAAGGTATGTTATTTTCTTTAAATATACCCTAGTTTTGATGATTCGGACTTCGGGAATCAAATTGTATTTCGTCTCGAGTTTTTCCGTCCATCGTGGCCAAAATACCCAACATCGTTTGACCAGATCCCGTACGGATCCTATACCCACATTCACACCCATAGTAGTGCCGTGTCAACAAAGGCGTGGCACCTAAACTGCCATGTTGGGGCAACTTAGCTTTTCAACAACAAACACCAAAAAAAGTTGGAACATCCTGCCCAAATCTTACGGATAGGTCTCTTTACATTCCAGTCCCCGGTTAATATTCCGTAACATTTTGTATGATTTGGTAGGTAGATGCATAATAATGGTAAGATTTGAGTATGATTTTGTATGAATTGGTAAATAAGAATTAAAGATGTAAGGACAACTTTAATTGAATTATAACATCATAAATTATGACGACAGTCAAAGAACAAATCAAGCAATCAATTCCTTCTTTAGATCTCGTTTCATATTCTACTATTTTAACATGGTATCAGAGTCTACAATCTTTGTAGAGTCTCAAAGCAGTGTTGTGAAGAGCGTGAAGCGAGGAAAAGCGACAAGCCCCTTTTCACTTAAAGCGTAAAGTGAGAAGCGAAGTACTCGCTTTTTTGAAGTGAAGCAGAACTAAGAAAAATACTAAAATAAATACTGCATAGACAACACACGTTACACATGTAACTGCATACAACACATGTAACCTCCAATACTAAAAAAAATGGCTGTGAGGCTAAGAACAAAAGATTGAAAACTGAAGGAGAAAAAAAATTGGGAGCATTTCGCTGCAATTTTAAGGACTTAAACCAAAACATACCTGCACTTGAAAACTGAAACCCTAGTCACTGCAAACATACCTGGGTTTGAAAATTGAAACCTTAGTTGTTGCTCGCTGATTTTGTAAAAATAAAAAGACTGAGCTTTTTTATTTATCAGTGACTTAAAAGAGAAAAGCGAGCGCTTCCGTCGCTTCTCGCTTTGCTAGTGCTTCTTGCTTTTTTTGGCAAAAGCGAACCCTTCAACCTACCTGCTACGCTTCACCCTACAGAAGCGACACAGCGGCCGCCTCGCTTCCCTTCACGCTTAAAGCGCTGAAGCGAGCGCTTTTCACAACACTAGTCGCAAGTAGCCTTTTTGGTGACTATCCTAGTAGCTTTCTCCGATGATTATTCCAACACTTTTTTGGACATCCAATATTCCGAGACTTCCCCACTAGCCACTATACTGGTGACCGTTTTAGGTGGCTGGGCATGTCTTCCCAGCTCTGTCTTTTCTATCAAAATTCTTTGAACTCTTGGCTTACATAAATCCTAAGTCTTCAGTATATCTTCTCTTTTTTATTTATTTACATTATTTTGAGCTGAAGTTGTGCAATTTCTTCTAAACTTTTTATTCTTCTCTATTCTTTCTAATTTATTCTCAAGCAAGAATTTTCTTGTTCCCCCTACAAATGAATGAATCATATTGTCTCTCTTTTTTTCCTTTGTAAAAGTGCAAGCTAGTAGTAATGACATTCCTCATCTACCTTTTTTTAATAGAGTTGTGATAATTCTCTGTAGTACAAAACAACTAGATAACAGTCGTTTTAATCCCCATTATTTGCACAAGCCAATCACGTAATCCATTTACTTATGTCACATAGTTTTCACCTAAAGACACGTAATTGTATTTCTAGTAATAAGAATCTTTTGTATACACTTAATTCCCCTCCGACCTTTTCCTTTGCCGCATTAGTTAATGGATCAAAAATTATGATTAAAGGAATAGGTAAGGCTTATCCTCTTCCTTCATTACTTCTAATGGTAATAATTTTACCCCAAAATATCCATATAATTTGATATCCATTAATAAATTGACCAAGAACCAAAATTGTTCTGTAACTTCTTGGCTAACTCTATTTTTGTCCGGGACCGAAGAATAGGATAGACGATTGGAATAGAAATTAAGCCACAAAACTTATCAATTGTCTAGCCCAAAAACACATGGTGCTTTTACTTCAACTGCTTCTTCCCATCTTCTTTATAATCACTCAAGATATCCAAGTATTTTCAAATTATAGAATATGGTGTTGAGCCTTTCTAAGTGGGCGTTTGGACATAGATTTGGTTGAAACTTGAAAAAAAAAATTTAAAGTTATGTTGTAATATTGTTTTTGGAAGTTGAAGTTCTGTTTGGACATGTATTTTGTTCAAAAAACTGGCCCAAACCAGTTTTTGGAACTTGAAATTTCTCAAAAAAAAAATTAAGAAACTTATCAAATTCCATGAACAAATAATGTTTTCAAAATTCTTTTTGAAAAAAAGTTTTAAAAAAAATCTATGTTCAAACCGAAGCACTTGTCTTCCTTAGAATGTGAGCTATGTCAGCTAGGTAAACATACACAAACCTCTTTCTCAAAGGGTCAAAACAGGGTCACATCTATGTTTGAAATTATTCATTCAGACATTTGGGGTCCCTTTCAAACCTTCATTATTTTTATCGATGATCATTCTCGTTGCACTTGATTATTTCTGATGAAGAATAAATCTGAATTTTTTTGTATATCCGAAATAAAATTATGCTGAAATTCATACTCGACTTGGTGTATCTATCAAGAAACTAGTCAACGATAATGAAGAGAATATTTCTCAACACCTTTTTCCGCTTTTATGTCTTCTCTAAGGCATTCTTCATTTATGATCTTGTGTGCATACTCCTCAACAAGATGGAGTAGCTAAACGGAAGAATATGCATTTAAGTGAAACAACTCGAAATCACTTATTGATACCCTTGTCCCTATTCATTTTTCAGGGTGAATTGTCAGAACTGCTTGCTATTTAATTTGTCGTATGCCTTCCTCTATTTTGCAGCACAAGAATCTTTACTCTATCAAGAGAATCCCTTTTCTCTTCCTCCCCGTGTGTTTAGTTGAACATGCTTTATTCAAGATCTAACTCCTTGAAAAGATAAACATCAACCCAAGTCTATCAAATGCATATTATAGGAATAGTCTCGTCTTCAAAAAGGCTACCACTCCTACGATCCCGTTAGAAACAAATTAAGTTCTTTGTATTAGCAGATGTAACATTTTTTGGGATATCCTCATACTTCTCACCAAATTCACAAAATGAATAAGCCATGTCAGAATTCTTCCAATCCAACTCTTCTGCCTCTAGCTCTCCCTAGTTCAGCTCCACTTTAGGTTTACTCTACACAGTCTCGATCAACCCAATCGCCTGCTAATTCAATTGTAGATTCTATTGATGATATAAGTACACAAAGTCCACCTAGTGACTCATTACCTATTCCAACTACATCCACTGCTTCGATAGGATACTCTATATGATGAACTTAGTCTCCCAATTGCTATTGGAAAAGGAACTTGTACTGCTCGAAATTATTATCAGGTTTTAAATTTCTTAAAGTAACACCAATTATCTCCCTCATATCATGCCTTTGAAACAAATTTCTCCACGGTCAAAATACACAAGATTGTTACAAAGCAATGGCTCATCTAGGCTGGCTTCAAGCTATGATCGAGAAAATGACTACTCTTCACGATAATGGTACTTTGAAGATCATTCCTTTAAAACTGGGTAAGATAGCAATTGAATGTCGTTGGGTGTTTATGGTAAATGTAGGTGCTAATGGGGGAAGGTTGCTCATCTAAATTCTAAAAGCTAGATTGGTGATCAAGGGATATACTCAGATTTATGAATGCTGATACTTTTTTTTTTGATTGCTTTTGTCCACCTCTTTATCTCCATAACAACCATGTTGCGTTTGCCACTTTATTAATTGGATTTTCAAGAATGCTTTCCTTAATGGCAAATTTATCAAAGAGGCCTACATGAAGCAATCATTAGAGTTTGTTGCTCAAGGGGAGTTTGGATCAATATGTCACCTATGCTGATCTCTTTATGGTCTCTAGCAATTACCAAGGGCATGGTTTTGTTGTTTTAGCTCTATTTTCGCGCTCCAACTTGAAGGGTAGTATTAAAAATTGAGAAATTGTTTATATGGCAAGAGATCATTCCTTGTAAATATGGAAAAGGTTGGACTCCATGTAGCAATCCTAACTTTCTATGCGTTGGTTGGTCAGAGATGGAGTGTGCTGACCCTGATCATGTTAACCTCGGTCTTGCTGACCTTAGTCGTTCCATCGAACCGACTGACACCAGGCAACTACTGATTTAATCTTTTTTCCCCTCTAAGTCCCATGTTTCCATTGAAAACATAAGTTTAATAGCGGCAAGTCTATGCCAAAAGTCACTCTTGAGACTTAGTGCAGGCCATGCTAGATGTCTCTATATGTTACTTGATTGACATCTTGGTGTACTTTTCTGGAGATAAGAAAGAAGTTCTCTCTCTAAGGAACAAAGTCAGAGTACTAATTCAGCTAGACTCATTTTCACTTATGTTGTTCCCATTCTTGTCCTTGTGATTACATTGTAACTGTATTGTGTCATCATGTGTGCACATGCCATCTCTGACAAGGATTAGAACCCCAAAAATTTAGCATGCATACCATCATCTGGCAGGCGTATTGGAAGATCATATTGAAAGCATTACAAACTAAATGCTACATTAACTAAGAAATGGGCACATACTCAAGCATCTTAGAAAGGAGGTCATATGCAGGACTTTTGGGAGACAGGTGCAAAACACTATAAAGTGCAGGATTGTCACTGCAAGGGAAACAATAAAACTTTTAGATGATAAATCCAATTGCAAGGCAAGGACGCAAGACAATTCGCTGCTAAAGAAATCCTTAATACTAAAAGCCGTATGAATGAACCTACTACTTATGTCCTTGAATACGCTGCACGTCAGATTGCCAATGTGGAAGGTTTACCAGTGTTGGCCACTTTTCCGGTGTGGGATGACCTGCAACCATATGACTTAAGTGCAGTGTTCAAACAAGTAAAAGGAACAAAGAGAATATTCAAAAATTAATCCTCACCGAGAACCTTAAATATCTTGTCAAGTTGGTCAAGCTGCATTACGAGCATTGTCATTAGATGACTATTGAACCCCCAAAAGGAAAAGCATAAACGCAATGTTGAGAGTACAAAAATATTAACCTGGAACGGGTTTGGTGTTCCTTTCACTTCTTGCCCTTGAAATAGTGGCTTTAGAGTAAGAAGCTCAGCAAATATACAGCCAACAGCCCACATATCTACATAAACATATTTTTTCTTGGTTGAAAAGGAAGACATATTTACTTATTTAGAGTGACAAATATTGAAGCTCAAAACACAAAGGGTCATACCAACTGCACTAGTGTAGTGTTTTGCCCCAAGGAGTAACTCCGGTGCACGGTACCAGATGGTCACTACAACCTGTCATTACTCAACGTACAAAAATTTCAAAGTTACTACAAAGCAGTGACATCCGACAAAGAACATCAAATGTGCATCTAAAGAGAAAGAAAAGAATAAGAAATCAACGTTCTTTATTCAACTTCTACTCCTGCAGCTCAATCAGAAAATCAGTTCTTATCAAAATCTAGGATTGGTAAGTATGTCAGGAAGAAAAGAATTCATATGGCCAAAGTTGTGACAAACAGAAATAATGTGATGCTGGTCAGATGTATTTTTTTCATTCTCAAACTCTTCAAATATTCTTAGTTTTAACACGGCACATGTTATTTAGTAATCCACCTCATCATCTTCATTTACACAAAGTGAGTTCAACAGATCAGTCATATAGACTATGTTAAACTACATACAAAATTCATATCTTTTACACACATAATACGTGTGGCAGTGTAGAAGAAATAGATATCAGCTGAGGGATGAGGGCCTGTCTTTGTTTTTTGTGAGTTTTACCCAAGAGAGGTCAGTACTGTAGATAAATGGGTGTTGTTCGTGAAGAACCATATTTTTCTTCAATCCTCTACTCTTCCGTATAAGACTTAACAGGGTTTCCCACAACAACACAAAGTATTACTTAATAAAAAAATCAATAAGTTATTACTTAATCAAAAAAATAAGAGAATGTATTTACAACAATCACATCTTCCACCATCCATGGACCAGAAGTAAAAATATTGAGCATCAGATAGGTTACTAATAAGTCTATAATATACCTAGGGATGTTTTTGACCGTTTTAATCTTGGTTCTCTCAAAGTTGAACGGCTTAAGCAATTTTTCATAGTGGAACTTATCAGTTTCGTTTCGGGACCAACTTGTTTTGGTTTCAAAAACTAGAGCAGGATTATACAACAAAATTTGGCCGTTGGTTTATAAAAGCCAAGAAAACCAAAAAACAAGCCAAACTTATTTCTTTTTTGTTTGTTGTCCAACTGCTGGGCTGTTTCTCTAGTTTCTTAAGTTACTCCTTGGCCCTTTTTTAGGCAGGTTAGATGGGAGGAGGGGGGGGGAACGAAATTCCATCTTTTTTCAGAACAAAATTTTTTGTTCAAAAATATGTTTAGTAGTATCAAAAGAAGATTAGTTGGGTTTAATCATTTTCTAACATTAATGTATTAGGTCTTTAGTGATAATTTTCAGATCGATATAAGCACTCGACTTATATGTTTAGTGTGCGCAATCAAACATCATTACATAAATTGGGACAGAGGGAGTAAATGTTTTTGTCTCTGCTTAGATTTGAACCATGGTCCATTCCAGCTCTATTAACCACCTAGACCACACCTTTTGGTGACACTTGGTAGAGAATAGCTTAAGCTTTCTATATATAAGGTGTAACTTCTCTACACTGGGGTAAGGGAGGCAGAACCACCACACATAGTTGCAATTACAAGCTAAACCAACGAGAAGCTATAGCATGCAATAACAAGTGTGTCTCACCCCATTCTCAGCTAATGGTTTCAATGGAGCCTGATAAATTCTTGCAAGGCCGAAATCAGCGATTTTAATAACTCCATGTTCCTCTCCGTCACCCATTACCTGTATGGAGAAGTAAAGGACACGAATATAGGAATGTTTTAATTATAAGAATGTTAATTACAAACAAACAAAAAATGTAGAAGAAGAGACATAAGGATGGAGAGACAGGGTAGAATCATACCAAGATATTTGATGGCTTTAGGTCTCGGTGTATAATCCAATTACTAAAAAGGAAGTGCATTATTATTAAAGCCAATATAAGAATATAGATTTTAAACAAAAGAGGAGAGCTAATAAATATGGCTTGCCTGTGAAGATAATTGAGACCATTAAGCAGTTGCCATAAAAGGGACTTGACTGTGTACTGATTGATTGCCTGATTGACCTTGTCCCTATGATGTCTAATAATTTCCTATTAAGATGCCCAATATTGTTTCAGTAACACTTATTATATATTGGAAAATTAAATGTATAGGAGGCGAGACTCGACTAGACTCACATAAAGGTCATGCTCAGCATAGTCAAAAGCGAGATAAAGGGACATATCAGCTTGGTTGATATGAACATTGACAAGCTTTACAACATTCTCATGTGTAATCTCCCGAAGCAGCTGCATCAATCAAAGATTCTCCAATGTTAAAACTAAATAAATACTTACATTTCTCTGCTATAGAAGAACTTAGTAATTAATGAAATTTTGACCATGATTTCACGAATGGCGGTGGGAGAAACGCCGTCGCCGTCCTTGGATTGCTTGAACTTCTTGATAGCAATAGATTTGGAGCGGTTAGCTTTGATCTTAGCCAAGAAAACCAAGCCGTAAGTTCCTTCCCCAATTTTTCCGATTAAATCGTAGTGTTGCAGCCACTCTGGCCGATTGCTGCTATTGGAATTTCCGCCTCTGCTGCTTGTATTGCCATCTCCCATGCCGATCTCTCTCAATATCTATCTAGAGCTGAGATTATGAGCTTTCCTTCCCCGGACAGTCAAAAGGGAGGGTTTAGCCAGTATTGTGTTGTCATGCTGTTGAGTTCTTTTTGGCAAGTATTTTCCTTCACTAACGACATCTGGGCCAAGCCCACACAAATTTTGTCCTGGCCCAATCTAGAGAGTAGTCTGGGCCTAAAGATGCCTAGCCCAATCTTGCGATATATTAGTTTGGGATCTTTCCATAAAAAGCTGTCTGGATTCACTATTTTTTTTAGTCGGTATACACAAACTGTGCACTAAGTATACACGATTATACCTATTATACATGAATTATGCATTTGTAAGCTATTTTTATATAAATTCTTGAATGGCACTATTATAGATCTATTCAAGCCCATGGGTGATGTATACATGGGCCATTTCTATATAAATTCTTGAATGTATAATATTTTGATGGAAAAATGACACTGTATAGCCGTTGTAAAAATAATATCCGAAATATATATATATATATATATATATATATATATATATATATATATATATATAGAGAGAGAGAGAGAGAGAGAGAGAGAGATATTTTGTACGTTATATACAAATATTATACAAGTTTTATACACTTTTTTGGCTACCAGATGTAAATAGTTTCTGGCGCGGGCTAAAAGTAATAATACCCCTATCTTAATGGTATTTAGACTCTATTATAGATCTATTCAGACCCACTAAGTGGTTGTAAAATTGAAAAAATAAACACAATTAATGATTAAGAGCTGAATGATTAAGACTCAGATCTAAAATACAAACGTATTTAATGACTGAAATTTGAATGACTAATACTTAGACTTCTATTTAGTATAGACAAATGAAACCAAAGGAAGGAAAGAGGAAAGGGAAGTTATAAAAAATTCCTTCCTCCTTTGAACTCTCTCATAGTTGGACGCCACAAATTAGACCCCTTATATTGGTAATAACAAATTACAAATAAATTTTAATTGAATGCATACACTTTTTTTAACGTTGTCAAGTTCTTTAGAGGCCAGCTACAGGTACTATTCAAAGTAAGCATGAGTGATAACTTAAAATTTTTGGTACATACAACTACTATTATTGTATATTTAAATTTATTATAATATCATTAGGCAACTCTTAATACTGTCAATCTATAACTTTAATTTGTAAATGCCAAAAAAATCAACAATTAAGTATATAACTAAGGCGCTAGCAACATAAATGCAAGACAAACTATAAATAATGGCAGGAAATAGAGAATAAAAGCTGCAAATATTTTATTGATGATTAAGCTTCTACTCGAGCTAAACTCAAAGGTATTGATACAAGTAAACAAAAAAGCTCGATAGAATATAGTCGATCACGAACACATTTAATAGAATATCATGTTAATTTGAGTGCCCTAGATTACTAAAGAACTTGGTTCTTTATCGCGTTCCTCAAGCGTAAAGTAAATAAGCAATAAAATGAAGACAACGATTTTTACGTGGAAAATCACCCGGCTCAAAAGGTGCAAAAACTACAACCTAACACGTAAGATTTTCAACTTCAACTCCACTAGAACAATGAGCCAAAATGTACCAATTACAAGACTGTAATTAAATACTCTCCAGTACTCCTACTACTCCTATGTGATTCACAAGTTACTCTAACTTGTAAAGCAAAACACTCACTCCAAGTCACTAATTGTTTATGACACTTGATTACAACTCAATTTTCTAAAATACAATCACTAGACTGACTCGCGAAGAATGTAACACAAGTACTCGACTCGAGTAGACGACTTATAACTCTTTAGTTGATGTGTAAAAGGATAGTTCAGAAGTCCAAAGTTGATCATGTTTAAATGATTCAATTTAAGATCTTCTAGGAGTCCTATTCATAATCAGCTTCCTCTTTGATAGGACTCCTACTGTTCCAAGGATTCCACAAGCTTTGGGACTTTTGTCTCTCACTGAATAATCCGTATCTCTTTGAGAAAAGACTCGTATCATATATAACAGCCTTCTTCTACCAAACTCGGACCTTGGTAACTCTGAGATAAAGTTACGGTCTTGTACAGACGTACAAGTATCAACATGAGGAGCTGGTCCTTTCTCCTGAGGAGTTGGTTCTTCAGAACAATTAAGCAGATACATTGAGGACCTGGTTCTTTGATCATTTAGTCACACTTTGTTAATCATCAAAACTTCGATAATCAACAAATTTCCCCTTTTTGATGATGATAAACTTTGTACATAACAAAATCAAGTAATCACATCAAAGAACCAGATAATCACAACAAGTGACAAGTAATATTGATAGACATATATGTTCACAACCACAAACTTCCAACCTCAACCTTCCAAACTTATCTTCCCCCCTTTGGCATCATCGAAAACAAAAAAAATATTAGTCATTAAGCACAGATAATGTAAGATTCAAGGCCAAATAGGTTACAACACAAGCTCAAGAAATATCAAGGCAAATAGACTAGGCTGATGATCCAATATAGTACAAAGCACTAGAGCAGAGCAAGAGGAGACATTAAGTAGTGCCAAAAGAAGCCCGGGGCCTTGTCTTCATCATTAAAACAAAATAAACTAAGCATACGGCAAACACTCAGACAAAGATAGAAAAAAAAAGGCATCACTGGAATAGCAAAAGAACTAAGTACACTAGGAAGGAACATGTTCATGGGTAAGAAGCAGAGGTGGTCAAAGCTTTCACAAGGGTGTTGGGAATGAGCCTCTCTATCTTATATGAGTTCTTCCCTAAGTTGCTTTGTTTCCTTTATCAGCTCATTATTTCCTTCGTGAAGCTTGGCATTCTCTTCAACAACCAACTCCAACCTCTTGCTGAGCTCTGCAGCCCTACTGCTCCTAGGTAGAATAGAAAATCTTGTGGGTGCTCTAGTCTTGATCTCCTCATACCCACACTACTTGAGGGTAACAACATTCAAAACGTCATTGTGATTTCCAAACTTAAGCTCAGGTAAGGCAATTTTGAGCTTGTCAAACAACTCAGTCAACATGAAACTATAAGGCATAACAGGTGTCTGCAGCTCTTTCCATGTGTCGAATCATCAGGCTAGGAAGATTGATCGGTCTACCAGTGTCAAGCAGCTCCATCACAGCCATGTCCAGCAGAGTAGCTTCACGCATTCTCTCAGACCTCTGAAGAATGCAAGAATTGACAAAATGAAACAACAATTTTTAGAAGGGAGTCATATGTACACTTTCTAGGGAGCATCTGGTTCAAACTTTTGGGAGAACTTCCTTGTGACCACAATGCAGTGTCGATATCATTGTCTATAGCTGGCCACTTTTTCTTCAAGTAATTGTCAAATCCTAAGGAAGAGATATTCAGAAGCATCTCCGGCTCCTCAACATCAAACTCCATTTCAAAGCCCCCTACCTTACTCTTGACTACTTTCCCCATCAAAGTTGAAATTTGCATAGAACTCCACCACAGTAGAAACACATACTGGGGGGGGGGGGGGGAAGCTTTGACAAACATGTGCTTCCACCCCTGTAGCTCAAGTTTTTCAACCAGTTGAGCCATTCCCTTCTCATCAGTGTTCGCAAGAATCTTCCCATTTAGCACTTTTCTATTCCTGAACGCTGTGAGTCGATCAACTGCGGCCGACACATTCTTTCTTGTCTTACCCCTATTGGCCCTTGCAGAAGGGGTAGCAGATTTTGTAACTTTAGTACCCAACAACAGGTTCCATAATTGAGACCTTCTTTTTTGACTTCTTTGCACTTTTAGACTCCTTAATGATTTGTGCATCAACAACCTTTCTTTTACTCCTTGTAAAAGGAGTTCTGGCAGGAGGAGCCACTCCTTTCCTTGTTGGGACTACTGACTTTGTAGCTTTCACAGGGGTCTTCATGGGTTTCTTCCCTACCTTAGATAGTGGCACATCATCATCATCACTACTAACTTCTTAATCTGCCATGAAAGTAGTTAATAGAGATCCAAGTTCTTGAGCCCTTGTCTCTTCACCAGTTTCTTCTGATGGGACTATGACAGTGTTCCCAATGGTTATAGAACCTTCAGATTCCTCACTCACATTCCCATCTTCTTTTTCACTCTCTTCATCACCTCGTCCACTCTCACTTACCTTTTCTTGATCCTCGCCCTCACTTTCAGAGTCGTCCTCTTCTTCACCATGATTTTCTTCTTCTGCAGAATCATTAAGCTGTTCACCTGTCTTATCATCTGTATCACTCTCCTTCTTATCTCCAGTGCTCCCTCATTCTCACTCTTTTCTACTTCATTGGCTATGTTTTGAGCATCATGCTCCTCATGATTGTTCACAGCTTCTTCTTCTTTTTCACTCCCATCATCTTCCCTATCCTCAGTCTAACTAAAAGAACGGCCATCAGAAGCGTCCTTTTGCACAAGTTCTTTACTTCGTTCCCCATCAATCACAAGCTCTACAGCAGTAGTATCTACGTCCTTCCCCAGATCACCTACACCCTTTTCTAAAGTGAATTTCTCCTCTTGTGGCTTCTCAACCGTGGGCGGGAAAGTATCTAAAGTGTAAGGCCCCGGAAAAAAAAATTCGCTAAGTAATTTAGGATTTCGTGGTGCCAGGTAGGCTAATTATAATATTTTATGTGCTATTAACATGATGGGAATCAATTGGATTGATAAATAAGTGCATAAGTCTTGTGGTAAGTAATTTGGGGTCCAAGGAGGTGCCTAAGTCTAAGTAAAATCGAAAACTTTCATAATAGGCTAAAATTCCAAATGTGTTTGCACAAGTCCATACTTTGAATGAGCATATATAAATATGTATAAGGTTTTGTGTGATGGACAACCTATTATATGAAATCTTTGAGTCTAGTTTTCAACGCTTCAAACCGTTCGTCATTTGGACATTCCTACACAAAGTTATGATCAAATTACCAAAGACTGGAAAAATGTGATCCTGTGTTGAATCAGCGATCGCAAATATGTCGCATTTTTGACTCTACGATCGTAGATCTGTCGCAGATTGGGCCAGTGTTGCCCAGTTTTGGGCACCTATTTCGCGATTCATCCTGCGGCCCACATTCTTGTTTTGCGGTCCATTCTGCGATCGCAGACCCTGTT